TATAAGAATGTAAGGTCATTGGGGGGTGGCCTGGAAGTGCACTTCCTGTCTCTCTCTTTGCTTTCTGGCTGCCATGGGATGAACTGGCCTCCTCTGCCACACATTCCTGCCATGATGTACTGTACCACCACAGGCTCAAAGGCAATGAGGCCCAAACAGCTGTGCACTGAAACCTCTGAAACAAATACAAATTAAGCCTTTCCTCCTTATAAGTTGTTTATCTCGGGTATTTTGTCACAGCTATGGAAAACTAATTAACAAAGATGGTTATGAGAATATCCCCCAAAACCTTATGGTGTTGCTTCAGAACGCTTTTAAATGTATTTTAGTGGCTCTATATTTTCATATTAGTTGCATGCTTCACAAAATGCAATTAATTTATTTTGTGAAGCTATTTTAAAAGGAAATTAGATGGTTTCATGCTCAGGTGGAGAAAAAATGACCTTCACATCAGGACCCCACCTGAAAAGTGGGTCCCCAGCGCACATTTGGAGCTCTGTGGGTACAAACAGGCTGTGGAGAAAGGCAGGGAGCCCAGGGACTAGGTACAGGTTCTGCCTCAGCTCCTTGCCTGTGGTGTGGCCTTGAGAAAGTCCCTTGTCCTTGAGCCTCAGTTTCCCCAAGCTGCACCAGCGACTACTAATGGGCTTCCCAGATCCAACCAATGGACCAGGAGCCCCTTGAGAAGCCAGAAAGCACTAGGAATTTGAGATTGGTGGGTTCCAATTAGGAGAGATGGATAACTGAATTTAATTATAGGGAGGAAAAAAATCCAAACAAATGTCTCTGGGAAGACACCTGGGAGCATTTACAGGATGATTAAAGTGCAATGATGAGCACATGTGATTAACAGCTGCTAGGACATGAGGGAATACCCAGGGCCAGGTGCTGCCATGGCAGCCTGGGGAGGAAGGAGAGGATCTGGGACAGCTGGAGCAGTGAAGAGATGACCCCAGGTGTGTTTCTGAGGGATTTTCCATGGACGAGGCCCTGTCTCTCAGCATCACAGTCTCCCCAGCCGTACAATGAAGATGTCAAACAGATTATCCCTGTAGCTCCGATCAGCCCTGTACCAACACAGAATGGGGAACACAAGTTCCTAGGTCTTCGAACCAGGGACAGACTTCCTGTAAAGTTATGGGTCCAAGCTCCACGGGCTGAGCTGAGCTTGGCCCACTTCTTACCAGCCCTGTGACTTTGGACGCTCCTCCTGCCTCTATGCCTTGGTTTACTTCTGTGGAAAGAGGAAAATATAGGAGCCATCTTGCTAGCTTTCATTCTCCACTGTGCTATTTCTCTACTGTCTAATCTGTTCTTTTGTGCCTTTCCCCTTTCTCTGTCTTCTGTAGAATTGGGTATTATTCATGACTCCACTTTGTCTTCTGTGTTGGCTTGTTAGCTGCTACTCTTTACTTTGTGTATTGTGTAGCTTGGGGGTTTGTAGAACATGTCATTAACACAGTCTGCTCCGTTTCCCATAGTGCTTAGGAACCTCACAGGGGCCTTTCTACCTCTCCTCTCCCACTTTGATGCTGCTGTCAGATGTTTGACTTCTACATGTGCTAGGAACCCCACGCTACATTATAGTTTTGCCTGATATCATGTGTATGTGTGTGTGTGTGCGCGCAGCATCTTTCTTTGCACAGCTGAGCAGTGTTCCACTGTATGGATGTGCCGCCAAATATTTATACGTCCATTCACATATTGAAGGACAATTTGGGACCCTCTCTCCTCCCTGCATCTCTCACCTACTTACTTGTTCCCCAGAAGATTCTGTGAATCCAGGTCTAAATTTCAATTTACAAACGTGGGAGGAGGAAGATCAGCACCCCATCTGAGGCAGCAGGGGGTACCTCTGATGGAGGTAGAGGGCACAGCATGGCCACTGAGGGAACACTGTTTCCACCTCCTTTCTCCAGGGGATTAGACTGGACATATTCTGGGATCCCTGCCAGCCTGATATCCCGTGTCTCCTTAACTAGGAGCCAGGGAACTTGAGGTTAGAAATGGAGGCTGGGGAGAGGGCAGGGGGCCAGCAGGAGCTCTGAGCCAGGCCCTGGGTGGGAATATTTGGGGGAGATAGAGGCTGGTGGAAAGAGAGGACAGACCCAGAGTGGGAGCATCCAGTGGGGTCCCCAGGCCAGGGCAGTAAGAGGAAGGCGGAGGGTAGGGGTAAGCACTCTGGGCAGGAGTCAGGGCCTGAGTCAGCTCTGGTCTGCTGCAAACTTGCTGTTGATCTTGGGCAAGTCATATGGTCTCACTGGTTCAGCCATTCCATCTGCCAAAAGGGGGTGATCACTCCTGCCCTGGACACAGGGCTATTGGGAGGACTGACAGAGCTCAAGATGGGAAAAGTAGCCTGGGAAAGGATGTGTGGGCATGGTGCTCCACTCACCTCTGCTCCAGCCTCCCGGTGACTGGCCAGCCCCTGGTTTTCTCATCTCTGAGAACCCAGTTGATTGGAGAAGGCAGAGCTTTTACGTAAATAAAGGCTGGTCCTGCCCCTCCTCCTCAAAGTCACCATGATGGAGGCCTCACACATGCAGACTGGAGCCTCCTGGGTGGTGGCTGGAACCTTGTGAAACACTGAATTATCATCCAAGTGCAGACAGTTCCAGCTGTCCCTCCCAGGAGCCGTGCTGCTCCCCAGCTCAGCACTGACTGTCCCTGCCTCACGTTTGCCCCCTACCCCAGCTGCGCTCCACTGGATGACTGACTGCACCTGTCTACACCTTTGTTTAGTGTAGGTTAGAAAACCTACCACAGGCAGTTCGTGACCTGGCTCTCTGAGGCCTTCAGCACTACTGGGAAGCCTCCTAGCTGTGAGGCCTTGGGCTGGACAGAGGACAGGGGTCCGCAGTAGAGAAGAGGCCCTGCTGTCTTGTGGCACCTTGGGAGTGGGTTTGCAGGTCCCGCAGCGAGGAGTTGGCTGGGCAGGTGTCTGTGTTAGTCATCTTTCCACGACAACATATAACTGAGATCACTCAACAAGAGGAAGGTTTGTTTGGGATCACAGTGTCAGAGGTTGCTCAGCCCCGATCACTTTGAGCCTGTGGTGAGGCAGAGAATAATGGTGAGGGTAGATGGGGGAGGAAGCAGTGCCCAGCATGGCAGCCAGGAAGCAAGGGGGCAAGGATCCCAGTGCCTCGTCAAAGCCATGCCCCCGATGATGACCTCGCTTCCTTTCACTAAGCTCTGCCTCCTAAAGGTTCCACCACTTCCTCATAGCATTGCTCTCTGGGGGGCCAAGCTTTCAATTCATGGACTTCTGGGGACACTCTGCAGTTGCCAAGAACCGAGGCAGTACAGAGTGGGTGGGTGACCCATCCAAGCCCACATAGCAGGCCACTGGCAGAGCCCTGCCAAGGAGCATGTGACAGCACAGAGTGAGGACAGCCACTACGGGACCCTGCTGATTTTCAGTTCTCTTGTTCTCCTGAAGTCACTTTCTTCCCGGAGAAGACTGAGTGCCTGTGAGAGGCCCCATTCACAGTCAGAGTCCAATCCCTGTCTGCCTCCTTTCCTCTTAGGCCAGCCAAAGGCCCAAGGGCTGGGCAGAGGAAGTTGGGCTTGTCCTGTGCGTCCCCAGAAGGGTGCCCTTCAGCTCTCCTCTCAGCTTCCCCCTCCCCCAACACTTCCTGCCGCAGTACTTCCTGTGGGGTCCCCCAGGAACAGCAGGAGCTGCCCCTCCGGCAGGTCCTGTTCTCCCATCATTCACTGTGCTCCTCCCCTCCCCTCTCTTCTTTCAGCACCTCCCTTCCCACCACTGATAAGAGGAGTTTTAATTATTATAATTATCACCTGAAAAATTGGTTCCTGCCACAGATAATTAAATAAGATTCCGCTCTACTCTCCCCATTTCTTCCCTCACCTTTAAGTGTGACAGTGGGTGTCCTGGCACCTGGAGATGAGAGTTCTGAGGGGGCCTGAGGGGGCTGCGCAGGCAGGATGAGGTGAGGTTAGATGAAGACCCATCGGGAGGGAGGAGTCCTGGGCTGGACTGAGTGTGTGCACGGGGGCATATGACATTGAAGTGTGTGCTCCTGTGGACCCATGTGTAAGGACAAGAGCAGCAGCACCTGGTCAGGCCAGAGTATGGGAGATGGGGCTGGTGACAAGGGATGGTAGGAGGGTACCTGGGGTATGGGTGGCAGATGTAGGAGCAGGGCTGTCCGTGGAGTGGCAGGTGGGGCTTGCAGGTGAGGTTCCCTCTTCCTGGCTGTTTATTCCCCTCTCTGAGCACCTTTTTTCTCATCTGCAGACTGAGTGCAGTGACTGTGCCTCTTGCTTTTGACCTTGAACAGTGAAAGTTTGGTGTAATAGGCAGGTCCCCAGCTGAGTGCCCAGAGAGAGCGAGTTAATGGTATTTTCCACCCCAGGTAAGGGGACAGGTGACCAGCCATCCTGGTTATCCTAAAAGTCAGACAGCTGGCCATGCCCATGGGGACAATGTAGTGACCTCTCAGGTAACGAGGCATGACCCATGGGTATTGAAGTGTCAGGTCATAGGGAACAGGAAGCGGGCTTGTCTTGTCTAGGGTCTTCCTCAGGAGGTCCGCCAGCTATGGCCCCCACGGGTATTTCTGCTCTGACCTGGAGCATCATTGTGAGCCAATCTACCCCCAGACAGGTTGTGCCCATGGTTTGGGGCTGGGGCTGGGTAACTCCTACTGCAACCTCTGCCTCCTCGCTGGAATCTCATTTCCTCTTTTCTTGCCTTTGTGCTTCTGCTGACAAATAGCCAACAACTGGCTCTGCAGAAGGAAAAGCCCTGATTAGTGGTGTTTGCCAGTGTCCGTGGTGTCAACATTTCCACTGTGGTCAGTTTCAAGCTACCCGTGAGATATCACTGGGCAGAAAGCTTGGAAGAGACCTGAGTCACACGCTATTGTGGAGTCCCTCCACCACACAGGTGCAAAAGATGCAAACAGCCCCGAAAGCCAGCACAGCAGCATGATACTAGGAGGCAATTAGGAACTGATTGAGTTTTGAGTATTTGTTCCCTTTGTTTTTAATGTAATTTATCTCATCACAAGTTAACATAATAATATTTAATAACGCCTGTGGTAAACAATGGGCTGACAAAATTTCTGAACCTTCCCCCTCAGTTCAGGCTGACTCGGGCCGACTCCAGTGCACTGCTGCCCCCTCGAGACATGCTCGTCACTCTGGTTCTCGATCCTGCAATTATGGAAACAAAACTTTGCTTCATTTCTTGAGCTTCTGAAATAGCTCAGCTCAGAGGCCAGGCTGTGCTGCCCATCTCAGCCTATCAGCCTCCCTAGTGCAGTGCTTAACACTTTCAAGGTATTATTCCATTCCTTTATCATCAGAAATGACGGTTACATTTCTAATTTAAATGTCCCTATACCAAACTCAGTTCATCCCAGGGAGGGTAAATGGGGAGAGTTCCTGGGAGCTTTTTCTGAGTAGTTACCCCTCCAGTCTTCACGGAGACCCATGGAGGAGGGGGCGTTGGGCCTCTCGGGTCTTCCTGGCAGAGCTCATTTGTTACTCTCTGGGTGGTAATGCCCTCTCAAGCCCCTTTGCCCTACCCTAGCCTTGCTCTCGTGGTGGACTCTTGGTCAGCAAACTTGTTTTATGGGTAAAAGTAGGAAGTAGAAGGACGTCCCCATTTTGCATGTGGGAAACTGAGGCCCAGGGTGGGCAGGATCTTGCTCAAGATCACTGGTCCTACCAGGAATGATGCAAAAGAAGACACCTTGTTTCCCCAACCTTCGTTCTTCCTCTGAGCATCTCTTTCTAGCCCTATCGGGACAAGGGGACAAGAGGAGAAACAATGGGAGGATTACCCAGGGTTTGGGACAGGAGCTCCTCAGCCGTGACGCTGGGACAGCTGCTTATCCCAGAACCCTGCGGCCAAGTCAGGAGCATGAAAGGGTCTGAGGAGCAGGTCCCTGCTCCACCTCCGCAGTACCAACACCAGCCCCTCGCCTATCAGGTCATTCACTCATTGGTTTCAGCCAGCCTCAGAATTTAACCCAAGTCTCCGCATTCTTTCCATTCTCTCACCAACCACAGCCCACAAACCCTTACCTGGGCAGTTCCTAGCTGGTCTCCCGACCCCACTCATCCTCACTCCACTGACAGAGTGATGGCTGTGAGTACTCCCATCATGTTCTCTCCCTGAGTAAACCCTTCAGGGCCCCCTCTGCACTCACATCAGATCCCCACCCCTCAGCCCCAAGGACCGGGGGGACCTGTCCCCACCTGCTGCTGTGAGCTCATCACCGCATCTCAAGGTTCCTCGTTCCGGGTTCCAGTTCCTCCCCTCTCCTCAAGGCCTCAAGGTCAATCTGACCATTGGCCCAACCTTGGCCCAAATATTCTACCCATCTCACATGTGCCTGGCTGGGATCCCACCTCTGCTGTTCACTTTGGGCCCCATTTCCCCATCCACCAAATACTTCATCAATGCAGATCCAGGAGCCAAAATGGCAGCACTGGAAAGAAAGTTTCCAACCATGATGATTACACAGGGGAGGGGCCTGGAACCCAGAGAGGGACAGGCATTGGGTTCAGGTCACTGAGCGAGTTGTTGGAATTACACCTACCTGGTCTCCGCCACCATGGTTGTGTAGAGCCCATCTGAGAATTGGCAAGAGCAGGAAGCCAGTAGAATCCCTGGGGTTCTCATTCTCCAGTCCAGATCTAGTAAGAATCTCAGAGGTGGAGCCAAGAAGCCTGGTTTAGACAGTGTCCCCGGTAGCCCTGGCGAATGGCAGATGTGTAGACTCAGGGATGGTTCACCCAAGTTCCCTTCGTTCAGGGATGCCCCATGACTTGTAAGAGCCAATGAGTTACGTTAAAACTTTTTCTGGAAATGGAAGAACAAACAAAACTTACTTGATCTTTCCTGTGGAATTTCAACGGAGAGGATGTGAAGGTTGGTGCTGCTGCAGCCACTCCTAAAGCCAGAGGTGCTCCTGGAGTCTACCTTGCTCTATGCTGCAATCAGTCGCACTGCTTTCCTTCTCATTACCTGTACCTGCAAATGCTGGCATAACTGTTGGTATCCCTGCACTGCTGCTCCCTATTCAGGACTCGGTTTCCCCACCTGCACAGTAAAGGAACTGGGCTGTGAAGCCCCACAGTAGGCCCTGGTCTGATATTCCAGGTTCCTAATAAACCTGGGACCTGAGGAGCAGTGGAGCTTTGGAGACAGGCAGGGAGTTTCCTTGCTGATTCCCCAGGGCTGGGGAGACAGAGCTGGAAAACAGTAGGAGGGATGTTGATAAAGACAAGTCACTTGTGGCTTTTGCTTATCCACCTGCTGGGGGATTTGGCTCAGGGAAAATGGTTCCAGGGGAGAGAAAAGGAGCTTCTTGCTGAGCCCGTGGAGAAAAGGAAGAGGCTCACATGGTGACAGTGATACTCCCAGGCTCACAATAATCACTCGAGCTTCTCAGTTTTGTGAAATATATTCTCTCCTTGAACATGTCTATGGCTCTGGGCAGAAAGCAGGTCCTAGGAAGTGAGGATGCTCAGAGAGGGGAAGTGGCTCACCCAAGGTCACACAGCCAGGTGGGGCTAAGCCAGGGCTTGAACCCATCTGCATATTGTCAGTGCCCAGTCTCCCTAAACAGCTGTGCTGCCCTGACTTGTGGGGTATTATGTGGCAGTGCCTGCAGTCCACGCTCCAGCAGAGCATGTCTGGCTATAGAGGGCCATCTTCTTGCTATCATTGCTTGAGCTCCCAGGGGCCTGAACAGGAGGATGGCGAGAGGAGAGGCCGCTGCACATACTGTGGTTTTGGGGCCACACTCATCCTGGCTCCACCATTCAGGGGTGTGGGGTTAGTGTCAGTGACTTAACCTCTCTGTCCACAGCCTCACCTATGAGATGGAGACCAGTAAGAGCCCCCGCCCAGAGCTGTCGAGTGCTAAGGTAGTTAATGTATGCAGAGCTGCTCCAAAGGGGCCTGGCACAAGAGGGCCCAAGTGAGTGTCATCCTGACTTCCTTTGTGGAGAGAGAATGATCCAGGCTGGTCTAGTCCCTCAAGAGTCTCAAGGGTCCTACGTGAAGCCCTGATCTTAACTCTGAGGCCCCACCCTGGTCTTGGGCCTTCTGCACTGTTCACACAGAAAGCAGGCTTCTCTGCTCTCGGTCTCTGTGTGGAGCTCACCTGTTTCAGGTCTGAGCTCCTTCCTCAGCAGCCTCCATCCAGGCAGCTCACCTGCCCAGCTTCTTGCCCGACTCTTTCAAGAAACCCTGGCTGACTCATTCTTGTACACTTGCTTCTCTCCAATGGCCAAGCCTCTTGTCCTGCGTCCTCTTACCAACACCCAACTCCTGGTGGTGTCAGGAAAATTGCTTCCCCTCCTAGAGCCTCTGTTTCCTCTTCTGGCAACTGGCCATGCTCATCCTGCCTGGCCCCCCTCACAGAATTAGGATGCAGATCAGATGGAGGAATGGCTGAGTGGGAACCGAAGCAGGAGTTATGGAGAATGTACCTCCCTTCATCACTGATGGAGCTGACTCTGGAAGATGGGCTCATCCCTGCAGTCCATGGACCCCTGCAAACCCTAGGACTAGACAGGGGTTGCCCACTCTTGGAGGAATACTGAGTCCCCAGACACCCCAATGGCAGGGTCTAAGGCCGGGTTGAGGGGGCAGGAGCATATGGCTCCTCCGCCGATTCACACCGCTGGTGGGGGGCAGGCACCTGGGCAAACCCTCTGGGGGAACAAGAAGTGAAGAAGCCTCCCCCAACTCCAAATAATGAAATGACATCATGTCTACACACTGCGCGTCATTCTGTGCCCAGAGAGAAAGAAATTGAGGTTTCTAAAAGTTAACTTACTAGCTTGAACCCCTGGGAACCAGGAAATGAAACTCACCTAGGTCTGACCCAAACCCCTTGCTCTTAACACTCCTGGAAGTGATCTCACCTGGCCTTCCTGGGTAGTTCTCTCGGCACCAGCTGGCTTGACACTCAGACATGCATCTTCCCTTTGCACCTTTAGTTGCCTCCTAGTGGATTCTACCAGCTGGTCTTTGTTTTGCCCTCTGGAGCTGCACAGTGAATCTAATCTCTTTTAGTAACTGCAAAATAAATTTAATAAACTCGGTTATGGTGTGTAATCTGACACACAGGTTGTGAAATTTCTGTGCCTCAGACTCTTTTTCATAATTGTTAGCACCATGGAAATTGCAGGGATTAGAGAGTAGATTATGCACCAGGAGAGATCAAATGAACTGGCACAATAAGGCAGGCTGGGCTTTGCATTACATTAGGACACAGGTACAGGCCATTTAACTCCATGAGGACTAACCTTAGGGTTTCCTAGGAGACTCAAAAGTAGAGAGACTTGAGGTATTTCTTCTAAAAAATATCAAATTCATGACTAACATCAAACTCAAGGTACAAACTTAAAAGCTTTTCCTCTAAGATCAAGAAAAAGAAAAATGTGCCTGCTTTTCTCACTTTTGTTGGAGCAATCAAGCAAGAAAAAAATAAAATGTATCTAAATTGGTTAAAAAAATTTCTCTGTTCAGAAAGGACATAATCTTATATATTGAAAATCTTAATAACTGCATGCATGTGAGCATGCATGCACACATGTGTACATACACACACACATCTGGTAGAACTAATTTAAAAATTCATCAAAGCAACAGAATACTAAACCAAAGCACAAAAATCACTTGCACTCTTATACACTAACAATAAACAATCTAAAAAGGGAATTCAAAAAACAATTCAGTTACAATAGTATCAAAAAGAATAAAATACTCAGGATTAATGTAAGCAAGAATGCCAAGACACATATGATGAAAACTTCAAAACATGGCTGAAAGAAATTAAAGATGCAAATTAAGAGAAACATATTCCATGTTTACAGATCAAAAAACTAATATTGTTAAGAAGTCAGTGCTGTTCAACTTCATGTTTTTTGCAGAAATAGAAAAATGCATCCTAAACTTTAGATGAAATCTCAAGGGTCTCCAAAAGTCAAAACAATCTTGAAAACAAAGAACAAATTTGTAGACCTTAAACTTCTTGATTTCAAAATGTATTACAGAGCTCTCGGAATAAAGGCAATGTGGTGCTCTTTAAGGACAGACATATCTGCCAATAGAATAGAACGGAGAGCTCAGAAGTAAGCTTCAAATCTACCTTACATGATTTTGAATAGTGATGTGAAGACCATTCAATAAGGGAACAATGTTTTTGACAACTGCTGCTGAGAAAGCTGGGTAGCACCAAGCAAAACAATGAAGTTAGACTCCTACCTGACACTATATACAAAATTAATACAAAACTGAATCAAAGATCTAAATGCAAAAGCTAAAATGAAAAATGTCTTAGAAGAAAACATAGGGAAAAAATTTCATAACATTGTATTTTTCATGATTTCTTAGGAGAAAACACTAAAAATACATGCAAAAAGAAAAAAACAATAAATTGAGCTTCACTCTTTCATTAAAAAACCTTCATTATCAAAGGACACTATCAATACAATTAAAAGCCACCAAAACGGAAAGGAAATATTTTCAAATCAACATCTGATGAGGAATTAATATCCAAATTATATGAAGAACTCTTAGGCTCAAAAATTACAACAAAATAAAAATCAAGAAAGGGGTTTGAATAGATATCTCTCCAAAGAAGATGTATTAATATAGCTAATAAGCACAAGAAGATGCCCAACATCACTAACAACCAGGAAAATGCAAATCAAATCAACAATGAGATACCACTTTATCCTTATTAGGAGGCTGTCATAAAGACACACACACACACACACACACACACACACACACTCACAGAGAGAGAGAGAAAATAAGCACTGATGAGGTGAAAAAGTAGAACTCCTTTGGCATTGTAGATAGAATGTAAATCATGTAGATACTGTAAAAAGCAGTATGGTGAATCCTTACAAAATTAAGCATTAAATATGATCTAGCATTTCCACTTCTGGATATGTACTCAAAGAACTGAAAGGAGAGAATACAGCAGAGTGAATGTGAAGAAATAATCTCTGAAAAAGATCCCCAAGTTTAAAGAAAAAAAAATATATATGTATATATATTCAAGTTGCTCAATAAACTTTAATTAGGATAAACTCAAAGAGATGCACACTACATACATAATAGTGAAAAGGCCCAAGAAGAGTACTTTCAAAGCAGCAATAGAAAGAATGGTGGATCATGTGTGATGGGGCTCCCAAAGCCCTTGGTCACACAGCAAAAGGTGAGTGGCAGTCAAGAGTGAAGCTTCATCTATACTTACAGCCACTGCCCAACTCCAGCATTGCTGCTTGTGCTCCTCCTCCTGTCAGATCAGTGGCAGCATTAGATTCGTATAGAAACGAGAACCCTACTGTGAACTATGCATGTGAGGGATCTAGGTGACATGCTTCTTATGAGAATCTAATCCTGAAACCATCCCCGCTCCCCTGCTCTGTGGAGAAATTGTCCTCTACAAAACTGGTACCGCGACGTTGGGGCCAAATGCTTGGTAAGGTTAAGCACTGACTTCTCATCAGAAACGATGGAGATGGAAAAGCAGTGGGATGACATTTTGTGCTTATTAAAAAGCAAGTCAGTCAAGAATTTTGCATCTAGGAAAATCATCCTTCAAAATTGAAGTAGAAATTAAGATATCCACAGACAAGAAGAACCTAAGAGTGGACCAGCTGGAAGTACCTGATTCCCCCTTTTTTTCTCTATGATAGCTTCAGAGTGTGACTTGGCTGACAGCTGTAGTGCCCCTTCCCATTGCTTCCCTTCACTCTTCCTAAGTCTCCTGAGATTGGACTGGACCAGTACATCCTCCTGCCAGTTAATGCTGGGTACCCTAAGGTTAGGTGCAGCTCAGTTGTCATCCATGGTGCTCCCTTCCTGATTCCTGTCTTTCTGGATGTTTCCACTTCTCTGAGGAAGCAGCAGGGAAACTGCCCCTAAAGTGGCGGAGAGCAATAAGGGATCTAGGCTCATTATCCCCAAATCCCAATAAGCTGTGATTAATACAGCTATCCCTCCTAGAGAGTCCCAGCTTTAGCACCATCATTTTCACAAAGACTTGAAAGCTATCAATCAAATAGCCACATCTCATGTTTCTCTGAACTAGCCCCAGGGCATCAGTGCTGAACACAGAGTACTCACTTCAGGAGGTGTCTACCCTGACCACAGCAGACTTCAATTTGAAGCAAGCAGTAAAACTGAATTTGGAACAATCAGTAGGCTGAGATCTGAAGGCTTGAGTTCATTCCAATTAGGACCAGTCAGCAGGCCCAAATTTGGACCAATCACAGGCCTGCTGTGATGCCATAAGCAGCACTCTTGGTACACTCCTTGGTTTGGTCTAGGATGGCTCCGTCTAGTGCACTGACCCCTCTGTACTACTGCTGCTGTACAGGTCCTGTTTAAATAAGGCCTTTCTCTAGTGTTCCCATAAATCTACTCATGACTTATTTCTTAGGTAATATGAGCCTGGAAGGTAGCATAAATCTATTTGTGACTCCTCTTGTAAGTAGTGTGGATACAGCTGTTGCTTTAAAAATAGCTATAAACACTAAGGGCTCTTGTCCCTAAAGAACTCGAGGGACTAGCTGCCAAAAAAAGGATCAGCAACAGAGAGCAGCAACCAGCAGTACAGACTGACTATATCCAGCCCTCACTGGTGTCAACTGGTGGCAGTATCATGAGCAGCAGATACCAGCAATCAAAAGTATTGGCTGGCAGCATTTGGCATTAACTGGTGCCAATTAGGGCCCAGAACAATAACACTAAGGGCTGACGATCATTGGTACGCAAAACCCTGAGCTATTAGCAGAGCAGTACTTTGTCAATTCATGATTTCTATCTGAATCCAAAAAAAAAGAAGAACCTTCAGCTGATTGGCAACTAGCAGAGAAATTCCACTAGCAATACCAAAGACAGTGCTTCAGGCTGACATGAGCAGACTGTGGTTAGTAATTTGAACCTACATGAAGAAATCCACAGCTGTTTTGTGCTGGTAAAGTTATCTACATAGGTAAATAGAAAGACAGTTTAAATGCATGTTTTGTAATTATTTTCTTCTACTTCTGATTTAAAAGATAACTGTACAAAGCAGTAATTATAAATCTACCTTGACAGACTTTTATTGTATGAAGGTAATTTGTGTGACAAAAGTAGCACAAAAGAACGGGGATGTAACAGAACTTTATTGGAGCAAAGTTTTTTATGCTATTGAAATTAAATTGGTATTAATATGATCTAGACTGTTTTAAAAACATATGTTCTTTGGCATCACCACGGCAGCCGTGAAAATATGACTCTGAAATACAGTACAAAAGGCAATAAGAAAATTAATATGACATCAACAGCAGAGTCAGAATTCAACCTTGGGTCAATGTGAGTGAGGCCCTGCCTGCACTGTCACCAGGCAGTACCCACGGCCGCATCTCCTTTATGCTCTTGTGTGCTCTCTGAGGCCAGCAGCAGGATCCAGGAGAACTGAGCAAGCAAATTTGGTGATTTGTTCACGGTGCGGTGGCTTGTTCATGGCAGGACCTAATCTAGAATTCCAGAGTCTATCTGCTTTACCTTGAAATTTGTGAAATTTTGCCATACACTCAAACCCTGGTCTCAATATTTAGATATTTTAAAATCTAGTGGAGAGTGGCTGTGTGTGTGCAAAATGCTTGTCCCCAGGCCTCAGTGATTCTCACCTGGTGGGCACTGGATAGGGTTGGGAACTCTGTAAATTAAATACACACACTCCTCACTCTTAGAGATTCTGACAGAAAAGAGTATGCAGACCCCACCTACAGAAATGCTGGTGTTAGGATAGTTCAGACCTTGTTTATCCCTCAGGATCTGTGGAGCTTGGGTTTCAGGACCCATTATGATACAAAATCCACAGACTGCCAAGTCTCTTTCTTCTTTTTATCTTTTTGAGACAGGGTCTCACTATGCAGTTCAAGCTGGACTTGAGCTCACTTTGTAGCCAAGGCTGGCCTCGAACTCACAAGGATCCTCATGCTTCAGCCTCCCGAATGCTGGGATTACAGGTGTGTGC